AATGTCCACAAAATCAAGTGTTTTATGTTTCGTCAAATGTTGTAAGCATATTACCATCATGTAAGTAATATTGCCAACCAAGACACATAAGTTTACAATATTTTTTGTTAATTAGTATTAAAGTGGATATATTCTTTAAATGCATGAAATAATATGATTTTTTTTCCAATCTCAACTTTATTAAATATAGTATATATTCCGCGCCTACCATATGTGGATGAGTCGCAAATCCATTACAAAGAAGAGAACCTGCTGGGGGAAGGTGCATTTGGAAGAGTGTATAGAGGCTACTTTCAGGGCACCCCTGCTGCCATTAAAAAGATTCTCTATGGCACCGCAGGACTTCCAGACCAAGATATCCAGCACGAGATTCTGGTCTCACTGTAAGATTAATCATCATCATTAATTCTATCTAATAATTAAACATACATTTTAATTTGATCTTATATTAATATTAACAGTTGGGGAGAATTGAACAGTTGTTAATAACAACGGTGCATTTCTACTGTGTGCTAGTTATATTGTTGTCATTTAAGTTTTACTTGATAATTTGCTAAATGCCTGTAACATTTCATTGTATTTTATAGCCGACTGAGCCATCCCAATATTGTTCGACTCATGGCTGCAGCCCGCACTGACAAGGCCTTCCTGCTGGCCAATGAGTATATACACGGCACGACCCTGGAGGATGCACTACACACTGACCATTCTTCTGTTAAGGTAAAAAAAAAAAATCATACTTTTCATGTAACATTTGTGAAAAATTGTCTTAACATTTAATAGCTAATACTTAAATGCCAAATCAAAATATAAGAGGGAGATCCACACTCTGTTACCTTATTCTCTTTTATTAATTAAAAGGTAACACTTTACAATAAGGTTCATTTGTTAATAGTAGATAACTAGTAGTTAACATGAACAAAGAATGAACAATACTTCTACAGCATTTATAGATCTTAATGTTAATTTCAACATGTACTAATGCATTATTAATATCAAAAGTTGTATTTGTTAACGTTAATGCACTGTGAACTATTGGAAATGTACTGTTCATTGTTAGTTCATGTTAGTTAATACATTAACTAATGTTAACATGTGACCTTATTGTAAAGTGTTACCAATAAAGAGTAGCAGTTAGTAATCTTCACAATCTTTATCATGCATACGTCAGTAGGCAACAATTATTTCTAAATATAATGACAACTTTACACGTTATTGTTTTCTATTAGTAAAGCAAATCAGGCAACATAACATTAACAAAGTTGTCTCTTGCTGTGCATGTGGTAGTTTGAACTTATGTTTTGCTTAGTTTTTTTTTGTGAAGATTATGCTGTGTTGTGTTTGTATCTTTGGTCAAATATGACTCTTTTAAACTCTTTCATACGTCTATTATTTAAATTTGTATTGTATTTTTGTTTTTTGTAGCTTGAAGGAGATGACAGTTATTTTGTTGCCCTCGACATCTCGATGGCCATTGAGTACATCCGTTCAAAAAATGTCATCCATCAAGATTTAAAGCCAGCCAATGTTTT